GGCACACGTCGAGCGGTCATCACGTGAACAAAAACTCATGCATGCAACTCGGGTAGGCCGCAGCTCTCCCGACGGAAGCCCCAGTTTTTAGCTGCCAATTCACACCTGGCGGCTTGACGGTCCAAGGCCGAATCGGACAGGAGAGGTCTCAAACAGCTCCGGGAGCGCACGCCTCAGACACGACACGTTTTTTTCTTCGTTTTTGACAGCAGTGTCTTACCAGGTACCAGGGACATGCGACTATTTGGCTGTGTCACTTTCTGAGCGTCTTATCGCATCTACCTAGCTGAAGGCTGCAGACGTTGGCCACCCTTCGGCCAATCCCCTGATGGACTCCGGGCACATTGTGATGAAGAAAAGGAGGGAGAAGGGGGAGAACGGCGAACACACCACGAGGAAATGAAAAGGGATGGCAGGCGGAAACAATGCTGTTGGGTGCCAAACGCCGTTATTGTCTCTGGGAACCAAGCAGCTAGTCAAGGAACGAAGCTGTGCCACGTCGCAATTTCATCCACTGCTCGCAGCGCCTTCTTGGGGGGCTGGCTGCATATGAGGTTATGCTGGAGACCGCTAGCAAGCAAGCTGGCGTCGTGTGACTTCGTGGCACAGTGCGAGTATCACCTGCATCTCTGGCTGCCCCTCCAACGCTTCTCTGGCTCCATGTCCCGTCAAAGCATGGTGGCACAGATACCTGGACAGCTAGCTTGTCTTCACCCCCCTCCCCTGGCAAGCCCTAGCGGACAGCTTTGCTGTAGGAGAAGGCCACAGATGGAGCCGCACATCATTTCAAAGCATGAGAGCGGGCGCAGCGCGCACAAGGGGAGGATATGCCAATGCCGATAGACAGCTCGATTCTTGCAGCGGTCCAGGGGGAGGGGGAGGGAAAAAATCCCTGCTAGTGAACCCCAGCCGTTTGCCCAATACTAGATCCTTCGGCATGGGAGTCGTACCGCGTTTCTGGTTCTGCAGCATTGAATCGGAACACCCGTACGGAGCCAAGGGAGTACCCAAGGTAGGCCACGCTTGTCCAAAAACGTGGTGATTTTTCCAAACTCCCAGATGTTGAGCCTCCCAAGGTGCCAATGTTGTAGGAATTGTGTTCATATCAAGTACATCGCCGAGGCACCCTCATAAAGTCTTGCGGCAGTGTTTCATTTTTCGTCGCAAGTTTTTCCAATCAGAGAACTCGGTGTCGTGTCTGCAAGTTTTCGGCGTGGCCGCTGTCTCGCTATGGAGTACATGCATACGCAGCCAGCCTGCTCAACGCAAGCGGACAATTCGTCAGCGCCCCAACAGCTGCTGAGAGACCTGTCATTTGGGATAAATGGCAGCACTATATAGGCATAGGCGCCCATCTTCCTGCACGTTGGCTGTAGGGAAGGGACAAGATATGACAGCTCCTCCCTGTCTTGGATTCCTGTGCAGCAGTAGCCAAGCATGAAAAGGGCCATCCTGGTGTATGTGCTTGGACAGCAAGACCGCTATGCTGCCACGCCACGGGACCTCGACTGCATGCACGTCCAGCGTTTGGCTCCACGAGGTCGCACATGACCGCTGCCTTGAGACAGCAGCTGCGGATACCGCTCTACTGTATCAACAGCGAAACAGCAAAACTCTACAAGTACATGTATGCTCCATATCCTGCCATAGTACCACAGTACCACGTACTGGGCAGCAACACAGTAGGCGGATGGAATGTTGTCCGCAGCGGGGGCCATGTCCTCTTTCTTCACCTCTGCTTTGCCTCCCTGCTCAGATTATCCCGCCTGCGGGCACTTGCGGTTGCCGGCGTGCCACCGCCCACCAACGCAAGCTGTGAGTGGAGAAGAGCCGTTCACTTGCTGTCACTTTTTCTCTCATGGCCCGGTCCCACAGTCTGCCGCCAACCCTGTTCGCGCCTGTTGCGGTTTGTTTTGCGCCACTCCGTGCCATCCAGCGAATCAGGGGCCCTCTACACTCAGGTGCATAAACGAGGGACCTGGCAAGTCTCAGTCTTGTGGAACGTGAGCGGCACGGCGATAGCATTTGGCGCCCCTGGTCGCGCTACCGGCGTCAGAATGGGGAGACGCTGCACGGAGCGCATGGAGGCTTGTGGAGATGAAGCATCCGATAGTGACGGGGGACGGAGTACTCCGGATGCACAAGAGCGAGCTCACTACGCGAGACCTAAAATCCTTCTCCACAGCATCCCGACTGCAGAGAACAGCGGTGAACAGATGATCGAACGATCTATTCTTGGAAAGCACAGACGACGATGCAGCAATAAGCTACAGGGGGAGCTCTGGTGTACAAATGTATTCATCTGAGGCTCAATGGCAAAGCACACAGAAGAAAAGGGCGCCCAACAGCGGAAAGCAGAAGAAAGAAAAGAAAATTTCCAGTCTGCATATGCGACCTCTCTGTGGGTTGGCAAGAGACCACTGCCATTGTGTCTCATCAGCTTCTTATTCCCTGATCTTAGGCACTAGCTCGATCATCTACGCTTGCCAGGTGGCTGGAGCTGCTGGTAGGTTTGATTCCCTGCCACCAGGACACAAGGAAAGGCCAACAGCTCCCCTTCCCCCTGCAGTTGGCTCCTCTTATTCCGTTCCAGTCAGTAGCAGCAACGTCTCTTTCTGCTCGTACTTGTATACCCAGCCCGTTATTGAGCGTCGGGAAAGCAAGTCTCCTTCCTTGGCACGCCCTGCTGGCTTTCCTCTGCTGCATATTGCGATTGGCGTCAGAGTCAGTAGATGGAACAAGGTTCATGCGACGAGATGGCCACATATATGCTTTTCTCAAAAGTTTCCAGCGTTGAGCAGGGGCGGATTCAACCAATGGTCCCCCCAAGCAAGCCGCGGCACTCGAGCTTTTTCCAACTAAACCCACCTATCGGCTCGTGTCGCCACTAAAGCCATCAGAAAACTGTCGCCCACGGAACGGTGCGCTCTTGCAGGTGCATAGTCGCCCGTGATCCGCTGACACCTTGGGGGGTCCCTGGACTAGGCCGCGGCGTATGGCTCGAGACTTGCAAGTGGGTTTCTAAACAAAGCGGGCGATTCTCCATACCTGCGTACAAACCACGTATCCGTGACAAGCTCGACATGCTTTTAGAACTTGGCCACGTCTCTCCGCATACGCCAGACTTCTGCAGACTTACTGCGCCTCAATAGTAGCAGCATAGCTGTTACTTTACCCAGCCGGGACCAAGAGGGGGAGAGGAGAAGACATGCGTCATGCTGAGGCAAAGGGGGGGTTTTAGTAAGTCGGACAGGACGTACAAGTAGGAGATACCTATTTGCCAATGCCACCTTTATCTCCGACAGGAGAGTGGGATAGGTATAGCTGTACTGATATGATAATAGAAGCCATTGCAAACGGGCTGATTTGTTTTTGTCCTAGGAAATATTAGGTACTTGTGCCACCTGTTATATCCAGGCTCTATCTGGATTCAAAGGTGAGAAACTTGTCAACACACCCTCTTCAAGCTTCTTGCCAATTAACCGCTGGTATGTTAGCTACCGATGAGCAGGGACTTACGCACAACTGTAGATGCCACTACCAGCCGCAGCCCGTCCAATCCATAAGCTTTTCCCCAAGGATCCAGAGGGCGGCAAACAAGGCCATTCGCTACTATCTGTGCCAAAGCAAGTGGGTAAACGCAGCTAGTAATACTCTGCTAGTAGGAGTTATGAGCCAGTGATAGGCGGCAAAACGGGATCAAGTATTTGCCTCACCGCCACGACATCTGACCCAGCGACAGCTAACCTAAACTTTCAAGGCACGGAGTACCTACTTTCGCACATGGTACCTTTCTTTTCAGGTGAAATATGACGATGAAACCTCTACTGAACCCGCTACCGGCGCGGTTCCACCCGTGCTACGGTATCTGGGCAATTGGGTTGCATGATCTTTGGGGGACTGCTGGGTGGGCTACAGTGGAGGATACTGAACCCCAGCCTCTCGGATCTGCAGGCTTATGACCCGGCCCGCCTAGCCGGAACCATTAAGCGGAAGACCGATGTGAATGACCGGCAAATGCGGAGCGCTATAGGCAGAGACGACAGAGACTCCTCCGTCTTTTTCTTTGATTTGGAGATGCCAAGTTAAGGCCGATCCCCGGAAATGGCGTAAGGTCGGCGGGAGAGTGACTAGGGAGGTCTGGCTAGGCTGTGTCGAAGCGAGCTGAAAATCGTCGAGGGTCAGCTTGAGTTGTCTGTTGAAGCAAGGGACCACTGACTCGAGCAAAGATGCAAGGGAGCCTGGGAGGAGAAAGATGACGCAGATACGTGGCCATGGTCTCTCCTCCCCCCCTCCCGGAACCAAATCTGCTTGTTGTGTTATTGCCGGTATTGGAAGAGAGAGACTGCCGAGCCATGTCAATCGAACAGCCCAGATGATACCTATCAAGCCATCCACCCGCGTCATGAATGGTGGTGGCGTGGCATCTTTCTATAAGTTGGTTAAGGGAAAAAGATGTCAGACTAACGGGCCTTGCCGGATAGGCCAAGCATCATGATGTGTAAGGCTCTTGAATAGAGCAAGCATAGCTTAACCGAAAAGTTGCCAGACGTTGATTTTGAAAGATGGTGGGTTAATGTACTTGAAGCCAGCCAAGGTGCCTTGCTTGCATGCCTTTTCGAATATGACTTGAACGAATAGGCTAGGATCGACCTATAATATGCCCATCCTCTTTCTTCTAGCTGCTGGGGATGCTGCTTATACTCTCTGCTAATTCTATCTCTTCTCGGACGCATTCAGAATACAACACAAGGGCAGTAAGCGGTTTTGGATATATCGCTTAAGTAAATTACTGCGCGAGATGGAGGCTTCGGCAAGAGCAGTTGAATCGGGCCAAGGATAAGCTAAGACGGCATAGATTGTATAAGCATGTCTTTTGCCCAAGAGCCAAAGATACATGCTATGCGTAGGTCACAAATACAAAATTTATATGTCTCAAAGCCTCTAATGCCGATGCAAAGTCTCTCGATATAACCGTGGAAAGATTTGTCGCTGAGGCTTCAAGCCTGGGCCTCCTTTTCTAAGATGTCGACAACAAAGGCTCCGCCAAGAAGGATGGCTGGCTCGTCAATGTTGTGATGCTCGTAACTGGAACCCACAATCAGCATTTCTCAGCAGGGGACTTGCATATACTTGTACAGCTTGTTTCTTACCTCAGAGTGCCCACTCCACCAGCTTCGAGTAAGAATGCTGGGCCATCCTGTAGGGTCTTGCCAGCCCAGCGCATCGAAAAGGCTCGTAAAATGTGTCCATGTGCAACGATGAGAACGTCGCCGGATTTCTTATGCGGGAGCTGGCCGTCGGACGAGTTGAGTGCAGGCTCATGATATTTTTTACGGATATCGGCAATGAGACGGTCTAGACGATCAGTGACATCTTGGGGGCTCCTGTGACATGTCAGATATGAGAATTAGATTAGGAATGCTTGTAGAGAAATCTAAAGAGGCGTGTGCCGTGGGTAGGATGTGCTCGGTAATCTGGTAAGATTTGGGTCGTCAGGGCGTGACATACTCTCCTCCTGGACAGCCATCTCTCCAAATGTCCCAAGTTCCCTCAATGCCTTGCTCGGCTCTCATTCTGCGAATCTCCGGGCTTGTGATGCCTTCGTAGTCGCCGTAGTCCCACTCTCGAATGTCCTCGGTAACTTCGACTGTGGCGCCACATTTAAGGCCACCGCCAGCAGAGCCGCCGTGTAGTTGCCAGGGTAATGGCCCAGATACTCCAATATTGAGCAACTCAAATGTCCGTTGGGCTCGTTTCCGGGGAGAGACGTAGCTGGTTCGGGGAGATTACCCAAAATATTTAGCTCTTGTTTTCAACACGTAATGTATACGATGGAACTGTTTTGCCTCGATTCGAGTTGCAAGCGGAGCGGGTGTCCCTCGTGTGCGGTATGCATGAGAAACGGAACAAACAGTGGAATTGAAATGTGTTGTTACATTGTACCCCGACAAAATCACCAAAAAGAGACTTCTCTCAGCTCATGATAAGAGATGAAACTCGTGATGCAGAGGGTTATAAGTGAACAGTGGGAGCATACGCGAAGTAAAGGATACCGCGCCAACTGTGGTTTTCGACTAGACGGTGTTCGGGATGAAGACGAGACACGAGCTTATGTGCCTTGCCGAGAGGAAACCCAAAAGAAGTAAAGGAAAAGAGAAGTTTGGTGTAGTAGCCAGTCGAGAACAACAAATAGACGATCCATTGGTCGACAGAAACGTTCTTCAGACTCGTACAATTGCGCGTATATGTAGCAAACAATCTGAACATGAGAACTGAGAACTGAGGTGTTACGAGTTTCAAATATCATGTATAGCTCGATGAAATAGGTAAGGACAGTGGAAAGATTGAGGGTGTTTGCTGTTCCTCTTAACCCCGTTTCTTGAAGAGGAGCGAAACAGGGCAGCAACTCAAGATAGCACGAGGTTATGACGGAATGGGGGGGGAGAGTCGAGAGAGCTCAAAATCAAACGATTAAAGTGCGTGACTTTTGGCAAATGAACCAGGTAATGGGAGATGTGCAATGTAGTTCCGAAACTGTAAGACAAAGCTGGAAGGCCGGTTTGAAGGAAAAGGAAATATGCGGGACTTACATATGCGACAGCTGTCGAGGGACAATCAAACGGTCATCGCCCACAAGAGCTCTGCCTGTAGCAATGATTCGCTTCTCTCCATTGGCCGTCAGGGGAATGTCGCTGCTGCCTGTATGTCGGCCGTTGAGTGACCATTCAGTCTCTCCATGGCGGACGATGAAGACGCGGGGAGCAGCCATATTGGCGATGTATAGAGAGTGAGAGAGGGCCACGAGTTGTTTTGTACTGATGGCGGAGTGCGGGGAAAGAGACGAGAATGGAAAATGTCAACCGGAAAAAGAGAAGATGATGCTTCAAGAGCTGTTGAAGACGCCAAGTTTATTCGACAGTCCTCATTTCAATGGAATATAATTGTCTGTTGCTCAGCAAATGAGCGTCAATAGAGCTCTTGACTTGTGGTTTAGTCATTATTAGCGGGCTGCCGGAGGGGTCGGTTTAGCGGGTATTTTGGTGGTGATGTCACTTACCCAGTAACTGGGTGGTTTGTCCGTATAGAAGCTGGGCGGGCGACTTGCTGTATCCGGCTACTGAATCGCCAAGATGGATTATTTTTCCGCATGGCTGCTTGATTGGATCGGGAGAGCAACACAAGTTGATATGGCATGTATAGTAAGCGTGAAAAGAGAAAAAAAGAAGAGCAGAGAATAGATTCTGCCAAGATTCGAGCGGTCAAAAGAAGAACATGGCAGTATTCTTTATGGAAGGAGCGTTAACGAAAAGAATGTTACTTTGGGCCTGAGCCTCGTGTGGCTGGTTTGTCGCAGCGCCTCCTTGCATTCTAGGCCCATTGCATGTGGAAAAGCCACTGGTTTTTTTTTCTCTCCTTCAGCATGAAGAAATGTCTTTCAACCTTAACTTCCCTTTCTCTTTAAACGAGCTTCTTCGTCAGATAAACTCATCAATCAGAGACTCTTAATCTCAGCCTATCTACAGCTCCTTGCTTTAATCTTCTTGGCCGCCCCAATTGAGCTTCCATCGTGATGACCTCCATCGCATCATGGGCCACCGCGCAGCCTCGTCATCCTCGGCCTTGCCCCGCTTCTTACTAAGTCTTTCAGCCTCCTCCACTTCATCGCAGCAGCAGCTTCACGGCCCGCCATTGTCGCCCGATTCTGCCTGTCAAAGCACCGGCCAAGACAGCATCGAGTTGGTGGCCGTTCGTCATCAATCGTGGAGCAACAGCGATAACCTGTTGACTGCTGCTGCTGCTGCTGCTGCTACGCCTCGTGTCGTCGGGCATAAGCGGGCCTCTTTGTCTTTGCCAGTTGTAGCAACGCCATCATCATCATCGACCTCTGTCCCGGAGGAGGAGAAAATTGCGTCTTTGGAACGGGACAAGCATCTGGGACTGGGATTGGGAGGGAGAAGCCGTAGCAGCACGACTACTTTGGCGTGCTCGACAGTTTCGGCGACCGATTCTCTGGGCAAGGGAATTACCCCGGCTGAGCGCCAGAACAAGGCCAACCGAGTCTGGAGAGGCTACTGGTGACAAAAAGAAAAAAGATTTTCAAGATGACATCCAGGATCCCCTTGACCAAGCAACAAAAATGGAGGGGCGGCGTCTGGGCCGTGGCCTTTGCCGCCGTCGTCATGGTCGGAACCCTGACCGGCGCCCAGCTCAAGTCAGACAAGCAGAAGGAGGAAGTCAGTCAAATCTTTCTTTTCTCCCACAACTCGGGATTATACAATTCTTGTCTGCTAACTTATTCCAGGCTATCCGGGAGTTTCGCCAGATTACTCCCTCTGAGCAGATCGCCATGCTCGAGAAGCAGCGATCTACGCTTGTAGAGCAGCAAACTGCTTTGCAAAAGAAGCTGGACGTGTTCAAAGAGCGCGCCCAAGAAAGACGACAAGAGAAAGAGAATGCCAAGAAGGTCTAGCATTGCCGCTTGATTGCTGCTTTTTCCAGACGAGAGAAAAAGAAGAAAAGAGGAATTAAATCAGCCCTTTACGGTGATGGGCTGCCCAATTTAACTCCAAGATAACTGTAACATTATTTCATTTGAGTCTTTTGGGATCAAGGTCACTGGCTTTCATCCCATTCATACGATACTACAGCTCAGCCGCACATTGCTGTATGTACATTCAGTCACTGGCGCAACTGGTCGATGGAAAAACGGTTGGAGAGAGGGCTGGTTTTGGTAACATGACGATACCCCTATATAGAGAGTCTCGCGCAAAGAGATTTTTTTTTTTTTTTTTTTTTCGTACAAAATGTTTATTATCTGGTCAACTTGACCGTATTCATATTCTGTTCTATTCGTCATGGCATATGTCTAAAGGACAGATGATCCAACAGCCTAGGCAAAGTCCATCTTTTCGCCATCTTCGCCTACTAACTAGTAGCTAGTAACTAATCCAAACGCCCAGCTTCCATATGATTCCAATTTCCCGTTTTTAACTGTGCAATAACTCAGGTCTAATCCTGCCTTACTCTTCAACACCCTCGGAGCTAGGCAGGGGAATTGCCTTGTAAAGCAAAATCAGCGCCGAGTGAGACTCGCCACCGCCGGCCAAGGCCTCGACCTTGTCGACGGTTACCTCGGTCACCTTGTCGTCGTTGAACCACCACCAGTTTCCATCCTCCTTCTCCTTCTTGCCCGTTTTGGGGTCCACAGTTCCCGTCTTCTTGACATACGCCGTGTAGTGGCCACTATCCGCGCTGGCACCCTGGTGGGTAACAACACCGCGCAGCTCGTATAGACCAGATTGGTTGGCACCGTCGTCGTCACGAAGAGAAGGGTTAATCAGTGAGTTGAGCTCCTTCTTGGCAGCCAGAAGCGCAGCCTCGCTCTCCGCCTCGACCTGGGCATCGGTCTTGTATGTCTCACCCATGACGGTATCGCCATCATCCGCCTGTTGCGGCTTGCTCTCATCCTTCTTCTTCTTCTGCTGTGCCAGCTCTCTCTCCGAAGGCAGGCCCGAGCCACCGGCAACGTCACTCATATCCTTGTCATGCGTCTTCTTGCGACGCTTGCGGGCGCGGTCGATATCCTCCTCATCCTTTCGGACCTCACGAACCTTGTCTCGGACCGGAATCAGAGCCGATTTCAGGTCATCAGAGCAGAACTCAACAATGTCCAGCTCTTGGGGGAAGGTGACTTTGCGCATAATCTTGGCCTTCTTCTTCGTTTCCTTCTTCCAGAAAAAGCGCACGAAGTGGACGGTGAGGTACTTGGGGGCTCGGGATATCTTGGACTTCTTGGTATACGTTGCATCGCGGCCAAGCACCTCAGACTTCTTTTCCAGCTGCTCGCTCAACGCAGCCAGGATTCCGTCTCGCAGATGGTTCGTCTGAGCATCAATGTGGCAGTCCAGCTTATAAAAGGCTTCACTGGATGTAATAGCCTTTTCACCTCCGTTTCGGGCTTCCTCCTCGTCGCACTCGAGGACTGAAGTAAATCGTCCTGCCATGTACTTTTCCACGAATGAGACTCCAGAGCTATCACCAGAGCCTTTGATTGTCAATTTCTGGTTCAGCTGCTGAACAATCTGGGACCAGGCCTCTTCAGCATCCTGCTGAGCATAGCCGGGGCCAGTTCTCGACTTTTCGGCAAATTGAGGAAAGACAATTCTCAGAGCCGCCAAGAAGTCCATGGGCGGCAGAGAATCAAGCGTGGCTCCCATCTTCTTGTAGAGACCAGAGAGCTGAGAAGCCAGATCTTGTCGACTTGTGCCAGGCACAGCGTTATAAGTGGTGAGAGCCGTCTGGAGCTCGGGGATCGAACGCAGCGTCTGCAGAGTCGAGTTTAGGTAGCAAGTGTTGCCGAGATTGACGAGACCTGCAGGAGTGGCTCCCACTTGCTGAGCTTGCTCGGCCTCGGTCATATCCTCAACAAACTTGATGGCCTCGGACGGACGAACAAGATCCGCGCCACCATCTCCCGGTGTGCCCAGCATCATGATGTTCTGGCCGGCCTTGAGGCCCAATTTGCTCATGTCTGCGTCATCTTTGAGCTGACCACCCTTGATGAGGATCTTTTGTCGTTCGGGCTCGACGTTGGTAAGGCTGAAGAGCTGAAGCTTGAAATCCAGTCCACTAGACTCGGGATCGACGTCTACGTTGTACTTCTTGCCCTGATGCTTAACAGCAACTGAAAGAAGTTAATACTCGTGTCAGTTCGGTGTGGTAGGGTCAATTTCATGCATGAAGAATAAAGGAAATGGGGCAAGTATTGGAGGCTGTTGAAGGCAGAACAAACAGACAGCCAGACAGACAGATGGCTGATATGGTGGGGTATCACGAACCAGTTATTGTGGAAGCCATGGTTGCAAAATGGCGGGCCGACTCAGCAGCAGCTGAACGATGAAATATGAAGCTGTAAATACAGAAAACGATGGCACAAGGAAAGTTGAAGTTCGATGATACTGGCCCAGAAGGGAAAATTAGCAATCGTAGTGAAGCTGCCAGGAGAGACGCAGACAGAAGCCGAGAGAAGAGCTGCGGAGCCGTTGCTGCGTCACGGTAGCAACCTGGCGAGGAGATGTGGCGCGGGTTACCAGCTTCAATGACTCGCACGTGATATGGCTGTGGCTGGTTGCGGCTAGGTAGATGCCAGTGACATAATCCTTCAACGCATGCTCTCGGTTATGCTCTCGGTTATATCATGTGAAAGTAAACTTGATTCTGTATTTATCTGCTAGGTGTTACTTTTTATTCTTTGCCAATGACGATCAATAGATGTGGTGGTTCAGGTCTTTAGAGATTAGATTGTGGTTCGTGTGAACATATTGGCGGCTTCTGAGCTCTTTGTGCTTGATAACCCTAATCTACCTGGTTATTTCCATATATTCATCTGTATCAAAGGAAAGAGCGCGTGCCCATTTCAAAAAGGTGTTTACGAAGTCAGAGTACATAAAAATGCCTCCCTATCAGTAGATAATAGTTGCAGCTTCGAATAGCGTAAACAAGAAAGTTGCGCCCCATATCGACACGTGAAAGATATAGCCCAGCCAAGAAATATCCATTGGCAAATAGAAGGAAAAAGAAAGAGAATTAGCAAGATACCCATAGAATCTCAGATAAATCCTTCTGGCGATGAAAAAGCAAATGGGCTTGTTTAGTTTTGAGTAAAAGCTCGGTTGAGAATGCGCTCAATGGCCGCAAATTCCAGCTTAGCCGCTTCGGCCAGAGTCAAGTCGTCAAACTGGGGTCCCATCACATATCCAACCTCTGACCAAAAGTATCCCCAGTACATGTCTGTCTGTTCGGCCTGATGTTGAAGCTCCGCGCGCTCTCTAAGGGGGAGGGACAGAATATCCCGGCTGGATTGCTCGCGAATCACAGCCACGTACCACTGTGAATCAGACGACGTCATTAGCTCATATAGACACCAGAGACCGGGGGAGAACAAAATTGCTCCAGGCTTAGTGACCGTTACTAACCTCGACAAGATCAAGGGGGAAGCCAGGCTTCGGGCCAATAGCGTACTGATGGCGCCAACTGTTCGAGAAGCGAGGGAGCTGGTAATATTCCATATCCAGCGCCTGCATGTTGGTCATCCAGGCAATGCCGTCCTTCATACACGGTGTAAAGGCGGGGCAGAACATGGCCGCCGAAACAAGGCGGCGGAGTAAGAGAGGTGTCAAATGGTTAGTGTCCTCTTGGAAAAGAATGCTTCGAGTAAGCTGGCGAATAAGCGAAAGCGTTGCTTGATAGATGGCCTCTCTTTCTTTGATCGTGATGCAATCCGTGCGAAACCAGGGGAACTTCTTGATGGTGCTGATCAAGCACTCGTAGGGGCGTTGCGGGCAGTCCCGGGAGAAGGGCGACTATAACAATCCATGCGCGTTAGTATCCAAGCGAATAAGAAAGCTAGGAACAACTGGATCTGATATTGGAGGAGAATTGGAGAAAAGAAAAGGAGAACGAGGCAAAGGTGCGGTTACGTACTCGATGAGGTACCTCAACGTGTTTGACAAGCATGACCATCTCTTCCTCTGAGATGAAGCCTTTGAAATTGTCCCACGGCTGATTGTGGTTGTAGGGCAAGATCTCAGGGACCACTCCATACCAAAAGACACCACGTGCAATAGGGAAAAGATCCTTCATGAGGTGGCCCTGAGAAGTCACCTCCACCTCGATGGTGCGTTCGCCCAGACGGGCATATCGGCCAGCGGCGACATTGAGGCGGTGTCGCTCCACAGCTCTCATGGCATCTTCAAGCGAGACAAACTCGACGTAGGCGTCCATCGTCTTGCTGGTCACCTTGTCCATGATGATGTGCACGCCTTCGTCAGAGTCATTCAAGATTTTAGAGTTGCGACCGAGAAAGGCAATAACCTCGGCGCGAGTCGTGGCGAAAGGAATCTAAGTAGCAACGTTAGCAAAACAGCCTTGCTTTACATCGCCAAAAGGAAAAGGAAAGGGGCAAAAGAGAGGATAGTAGAGTGAAAGGGGAGTAATAGACAAGTCACAACGCACATTCTTCAGCTTGACGATTCCCCAATTCATAGGCTTTGCCATTCTAGCCGACTCAACAAAGGGAAAGTTGGCCGGGTCCATGGCCTCAGCCAGCGTGGGCAGTCCAGAACGAGTGTCAGTCAACAGTACAAGCTTATTCGATTCCTGTACCTCTCTCAGTGGAGCGGTGTTGATACGATCAAGCGGGATCTCAGAAAGTCCGGTTGTATCGCTTAGACGCACGCCAAAGGGACGCACAATCTGCCGCACAAGCTGGGCTTCCATGTTCCGATGCTCATTGTCAACAGGGGTTGCAGCCGCCGCTCCTAGATCAAATCTAGGGGGAGGCTGCATCATGAGAGGGCTAACACCAGCACGTCCTGCAGTCCGAGGTGCGTAGTTGCGCGGCTCACTGGCTGCGGTCGTGACGCCTGGGCTGAAGTAACCGCGTCCAAATGCGCCATGCCGACGAGTCGGAGTTGAATTAGCAGGTTCTTCGCTCCCCTCGCTAGATCGAAGTGAATTAAGAGAGTAACTGTGCGGGATCTTCTGCGGCTGACGGTATCCGAGAACAGACTGAGACGACTCAGGACTAAACCCGTAGGGTGATTCGGCCTGGCTCTCCACAGTAGCAAGAGAGAGAGAGTCGCTGGTCGGTGGCTCAACGGTTGAACTACCAACTTCCTCATTTCCTTCGCTGGATCGAAGAGAGTTGAGAGAATGGCTGTGTGTGATCTGTGGCGAGATCCGGGGCAGAACCTGCTGTGGGGGGTGAGAAAAACCATAAGGAGTATAGACCGGCGAAGGGCCAAACTTGAAAGTGGCTTGGGCCTGTCTCTCGACAGCAGCGATAGACTCATGGGCAAGCGCTTCGGCTGTTCGAGGTGGTGGACGCGTGAACCCATAAGGCGTGTAAGACGGCGAGGGCCCAAACTCAAAGGTCTCATTAGCCTGTCTCTCAGCAGAAGCGACAGAGTATCTCGCCGAGTCGTCGGGCAGAGCTTGCGAGTGGACGTATCGAGGATAACGGAGATCGGGAGGGTTCTCTCCCACTGCAAGCTCCGACCCGTCGTGCGAATAGCGCACTGACTCTTGAGATTCGTCGATGCTTCCACTGTTTGACTTGCCTTCCTAAGACTCATCCACAGTGGTTCTCGCGTCGCGGCTAGGAGTATGAGCCAGGGCAAATGAAACAAGGTCAGTGCCGTCTTGGCTTTGCTCTTGAGGGAATAGCTGAGGATTCTGGATCGGTGGATATTCAGTCAAGGGCGGAACTCCAGTTGGCAAAGGATATTGAAAAGAAGGGTGAGGTGGGTTGGGGTCAAATCGAAAAGGTATAGCACTTCCACCCACGCCTGGGATGAAGTTACCGCCCACGTGTGACAAAGGAATTCCAATCGCAGTTGCGGCAGGGTTCTCGGCCACGAAGCGAGGATGATTTCCAACATCTGTAGCGGGAAGAACTCCAGGCATCGGGTGCGAATGACTCTCGGTCGCAAGAGGAGAGCTATCACCAGGGCCAGGCCACTATCCAGCTGATAAGTATTGATCAAGACAACAGCCAAATGACTGGTAGGTAGCTAACCGATTGTGAAATCGAGACAAGAAAATACTTACCTTTGCGGGTGTGGAAGGAACCCAGGCATTAGCAGATGGGTTAAAAGAACTATGTTGAACCAATTTTGCACGATCCAAGTCTGTGTCAGCGTCGCTGTATGTATACAGAGAAGAATCAAAGTCACTTCCGCTTTGAGCAATGTCAGACCGGTTGCCGCTGCGCGAACTTTCGGGAATGGTGGAGAGGCGACTGGCGGAGTGACTGGAAGCTAGCTGAGCACGCTGTCTACCTGTGAGAGGCGATGACTGAGTTGCTGCCGACTTGGGATCCACAAAGGGTGCTTCCCCGAAGTTAAGGTCGCGAGCTTTCTCACGACGTGAAGCCATGTTGACGCGTTGGGCTAACGAAGATTAGCAAGGGTCTCGTACAGCAAAGGGAAAGAAAGAGCTGGAGTAAGATATTTCGAAGATGAGATGAGATGGTAGAGACATGTGTGTGGTGATATGAGATGGGAGCGAAGAAATGTGCTCGTTGGAACATCTGCACATCAGCCGAGGATTTCAGGAACCAAAAGTCGAAGAATAGTAGTTACGCTACCCATGAGGAGAAGGGATCTGAGGAAACGTAACAGACCGAATTACCTGTCAAAAACAAACCTTTTGCTTTCAGAGTGTTTGGAGTTGGAACGAGTTGGAGGTGCCTGATGGCGGTGTCATGAAGCCAAAGGTGGCGATGGTGAGGTGTAAGGAAGATAGCAACTTGGAGAGGGGGGAGGGGAGAAGGGAACGAGAGGATAAAAGAAGAGAAGTGAATAGAAGTGGCGGTGTTGAAAATTTCCTCGCGTCTTGTTTGCACGAAGCCACGCGGAAGTGATAAACGCAGGAGAAGAGCGTAACGGGCAGCTAGCTTCGCGTTTGTTGCCAGTTGCTAGGGCTGCCAGCTGCAAAAGATGAGGATGATGCCGACATCGGCGACAATTTAAGATTGCCAAGCTGTTGAACTGTTTGCCAGTTATCCCAAGCAGCTCAATGACCGGGTCCCGCTATATAACAGCTGTCGAGCCCAGGGAGAGGACGGTGAAAAGCCACGTGGGAGCTGTTTCAAGATAAATGAGAACACAACGTTTGCGGATATGAGTTTTTGAGTTCAATGATGTTGAGGAACGAATTTTGAGGAATCAAGTTGATCCTGGCTCTCTTGACTGCCTTGTTTGATTGTAACAGCCGTGTCATTGATGTTCAGTTGTCGTCGTCCGTGCTCCCCATCGAACGGATGTGGCTGTTCCAAGGCTCAACTCGCAAAGTGGGCTTACATTGACAGCCAGTAGTTCTAAGCTGACTCTTGACACGCATGAAGCTCCAGCAGATAGTGCTCCTCGCCGGAGGAAGCTGGCTATTAGCAATGGGACAGGTATTCGGACTGTCTTATTCTTTCCCCGATTCTTCTATCACAGCATGCAGAAACAGAACAGAATCCCACTGGGACGTAAGCTGGCATCAAGTAAATTTAGACAATGATAATGATATTTTTTTCATTAGCTCTCAGTTGTTTATACCTATATGCAGCGCCCCTTGATCCCCATCTCGTGGATACATGTTTATCGCAGTTTAATCAAACTTCAAGCCGTTGGTTAGATACGCCCTGCTGCACGAAGAAGGGGAAAGTACTCACAGGTGTCAAGAAAGACTCGGCAACAAATCGTGCTCTGGCGTTAAGCTGCAAAGCGGGAGATATTTCGTTAGTCGATATCCAACATCCAGTTTGCGGCAGAGTAGTGTATAGGACGTACGAAGAGCTTCATCTCGGAAATCTCCTTGTCAACCTCCTCTTGGAATTCAATGATAAAGTCGACAAGCTTGTGCTTCAACATCTCTTCGGTGTGGAAGTTTGTTATCAGGAAAGAAATGTCGTAGCCCTGTGTTGAATTGCAAATTAGCATGTGTTTTCTACTAACTGCTAAGCTTTCGATTGTCCATCCACTACTCACAGGAATAGGTTTTCTCCGCAGGATAAAGAATGACTCCGCTCCTATAATGAAATCCAACTGTCAGATCATCTGTATCCCCATTTTGGCGGAACGCGGCGGGCACCGACTCATTTCCAGGAATCTGGTAAACTTGTGGACGAGCAGGTTCTCAATCTCATCGGCCTGCTTGATCTTGATGCTGATGCGGACAGAGTTGATGCTCGGCTCGATCAAGACTCGCTCGTTCTCGTTGCGGGCAATGGTCAGGGGCGTGAGCAGCACCTCGGGGGAGGTCTGAGCTTCGATCTCGGGGACATTGTGACGCTCGGTGGTCTGGGAGGCGAAGTTGGAGAGAGTCAGGGCGGCAATCAGGCTGCTTCGTACGCACTGGAGGTACGGCCGCAGTGATTGAGACTATCGTCAAGCTCGGTCAGTTGGTCAGTTCAAGCTGCCCCCCAAAAAAACGAAAGCTGACCGCTGGGCTGTTGCTTCTCTAAGGGGGGGCATATTTGGCAGATGAATGGCGAGAACGAGAAGAAGAAGAAGACTATGTGAGGTAGAGGGCGGTGCCGGATCTAAACGTACCATGACTGCTGCTCAAGCTGCTGCTGCTGCGGTGGTTTGTCGAGATGGTGGTTGGAGCCTCGATCCGGTACTTCGTTACGTGGACGGGATACGCGGGGCTCGATGTCACAGCTCCGAGCCTCCTTTGGGGGCAAGGTGGGGCAGCGGCTTGACGGAGTACGTACCTCCATATGGCAGCGCTGGTGACGTTTGTCGTGATCGGCCAGTCATGTGATGAAAGAGCAGAAAGAAGATGCAGCTTTATTGGAAGGTATTAGTAGTAGTTCCGTTCTACATGTTGATCAATCCGGGTAGCTGTAGTCTCTGGAGTCAATCCGTGGTGCTACAAGTATAGCAACACACTTTGTAGTACATTCGTTTGCAAAGGCCTTTGTCCAAGTGCTGCGATTGGCGGTGGCCGTTGGCTACAAGCAACTTTAGCGCTATGGACAAGGTTTTCGGAAGCTGTGGTTTGTCCGCTCGCCAAGCTCCTTAGCATGGGATTTAATCAGACTGTGATAACGAAGCTTCAGCCAACCGCATGTGAGCTCCAGTTGGGTCCCCTAAGCCATGGGGCTTTGGCGAGCGTTGACTGGCTCTCTGCCAAGAAGAGCACATTTTCCTGTAGACCTGGAACCACTCAAGAGACCTTGGTAGTTTCGTATGCAAATAAAGTTTCTAAGAACGGAGGGGTACCTTTCGGTTAGACTTCTGGGCCAGTGCCGGGTAAGAGTCTCTGGCAACCTCGACAGCGTCTATTGTCGTACGATGTAACTGTACCTGGCCATGGTACCTCATGCTATGGCCTTAGTACATGCAAGGCACGGCAATGTGCTTCGGTCTCTTGTCTGTAGTGCCCGGAATTAGTCATTAATTGCTCATGTCGGAGATCGAGCTCTAGAGTCGAGGAGCTTCAACAGGCTCGGTGTTTGCGACAAGTCCTTGTGCCAACTATTCCAGGAACAGGACCAACGCTATCGCAAAGCGTTTCTTTTCCCCCCCTCTCTTTTTCTGTAAAATCTAGGTAAAATCTAGGTAGGTATAGACATTCTGCTCCATACAGTTTCACACCAATCCACCTCGTTTTCCAATCACATACCTCTATTCGTGCTCATCACCTCACCATCTCTCGGGATTGCAACCCTGGCGGGCTTACCTACATAATTCCTACTGCAACCAGGCCTGCAGCTGCAGTTAGGCTCCCGCTTGCTACTACGCAATTGCCGGAGCTTTCCCCTTGTCTTGTCCAACTTCTCTCTTTCAACTCTCTCTTTCTTTCTTCCCTCCCTCCATTCCCGCTGTTTCTGTATTTACACCTACTTCTAGCCAAGCCAATTCGCCTTGATCAACCAAGCCGCCATCATGTCCGCCCCCGAGAAGAACGAGGCTGAAACGCCCCTTGCCCAATTCACGGCCCGCCTAGCCGACATCAAGAAGTCATCAGGCCATACCGAGATGTGGGGGGTCGAGCTCTCTGACGACGCCTCCCACGCACCGACTCAGGTCATCCTCCAGAAGTTCCTGCGAGCCAACAATGGCGACCTGGCGGGCGCCGAGAAGCAGCTGACCGACGCCCTCACCTGGAGAAAAGAGGTGAACCCGGCATCTCTGGTGACTCAGACTTTCGACAAGAAGAAGTTCCACAACCTCGGATTCGTTTCCAACTTTACAGACGACACTGGCAAGAAGGTCATCATTACCTGGCACGTTTATGGCGCCATCAAGGACAACAACTCTACTTTTGGCGACGTCGATGAGTGAGCATCTGAATATGGAACTACCCTCCATTTTTTTCTTCTTAGGCATGCTAACCAGCTGTGTGCTCTATAGGTTCATTAGATGGCGTGCAGCGCTCATGGAGTTGGGCGTGCAGCAGCTCAATCTCAATGATATCAAGGAGCCCCTCCCAGAGGACGGCACCGACCCGTATCAGTTGATCCAGGTGCACGACTACAAGTCAGTCAGCTTCTTCCGCATGGACCCTGTCGTCAAGGCTGCCACCCAAAAGACCATTGCCGTCTTCGCCACGGGCTACCCAGAGCTGCTCTACCACAAGTACTTTGTCAACGTTCCCGCCATCATGGGTTGGATGTTTGCCGCCATGAAGTTTGTCCTCTCGGCTGCCACTTTGAAGAAGATGCACCCCATGGCCTCTGGCACTTCATTGGTCAATGAGCTCCCAGCCCTCGCCACTTCTCTGGCTCCAGAGTACGGAGGCACCGGCCGTCCTGTCCAAGAATCATTGACACTGACGACGGCTGATGTTCCCGAGGAGGCCAAGGAGGGAGATGCTTCTGCTGAGGCGGAGAGCAAGCCTGAGGGAGACCAGCAGGAGGCTTAGGCGAAAGAGGCTGAGACCGGGGCTGGGGCCTCGCCCCAGATGCAGAGGCCACAGAGATTGCTTTGCGAAAGCGGTCCAGGGCTTTCCCCTTGACTGAATCACCACTCATATCCGCGCTTCATCTCGCCAAGAGGAGGAGTGCATGTTCTTATTTTGTTTGTTTCGTTGTGTGTTTTTTTTCTTGCTGTTTGGATCCATACGAGCACGGGCTTTCAATTTGCTAGCCAGTCATTCCCGTTTATGCTCGCAATACCCCGATATCATGTCATGCACTAAAGTATTGTGCATTAGATCCCCATTTTGTGATAGCTGGCTATGAACTGGTACGACGTCTGCCATGGGCGTGTTTTGAACTATATTTTGGTTCTCATGTAGTTTCGATTTCCTTGATTGTCATTCTCTTGAGGTACCTGAACTATCTATTGTTTACTGCATCAGTAGTAGTGTCTATTTAATGTGCAGTGTTTGACTTGCTGACATTTCAAGCCAACCTCGCCGTGATATCTCAAGTGATACTTGCATACTCACCCAATTCAAGCCGAGTCACTCTTTCTCTCACTCTCTCTGAGAGGCACTTATTCCTCTTTCCTCGGAAAATGTAGTCACTTTATGAGATTGCGAGATCAATTCTGCGTCTTTCTTCCGCGCTGGCAATTATTTTCACGTCCTTGACGCGCCATTACTGAGTAGTTCGCCCCGATGCTTCGAGCCGCGCCATCAATTTGCCACACGTAACGGCGAATGCTGCCTTGGGACTCGCAGCGGCATAAAAAGAAAAAATGGTAATGAGATGGTAACACAGTCAAGTTTACAGCCCTGGTAAATTTTTGTCTCTAGTGCCAAAGATCCTAGCAGGTTGGGTGATTATTTTGTTGATGATAGTACTGTGGCGTTCATGTTTACCGCAACACATCGACTCGCCTACAAAAGGAAGAGTGCGATCATTCTAGAGGCAAAAAAAAATAATTGCTGCTACTGTGATAAGTTGATGATGCTTCTTTGAGACTTATGTCCCTGTAGTCTAGCATTTTTAGTGACTGGTTGGGCTGAGCATGGCAAGTGCGCCAGACTCTATCGTGGTGGTGGTATCGTCGAATGAGAAATGGAGCTGGGCCGATGAGAACAGAGACATTTTGACTTAGGCTGAGGCTGGAAACCCTGCAGCCGGTGAGCGCTATGCGAATACGCCCGTGGATCAGATGATGTTATCGTTGTCATTCTGTCGCCATTTTATTCTATCATAGCAGTCGTCGTTGTGAAGAAAATCGAAGGGTTGAGTGAGTGTTTTATTGTACGAGAAGACGATACCATTTTAAGATATGAGGCGGCATGAAACATTTAGCAGCAGCTGAGAATGTCGGATCATAAATTATCACCAGATGTTTGATCGGCGATAGGAGTCGAGGCTGAAATATTCTGTTGGATGGGAGAGACGCAAATCACACCCTCCTCCAGGCACAGTCGCCTCAGATATTGGGGGCACATTACATGTTATCCAACCCCGTTGCCAGCCTTGCTGTCTTTTTATTTATTCACACCTTCAAATTTCTTTTTAAAATTGATTGTCATTGATTCACTGGCTCCTATATCGTACATTCATCGTTGCATCGGCCGGCACGAGGCTATTTCCCCCCCAACGCAGGGAGACAAAGAGGCATTATTATAGGCTCGTTAAACGATGCGGAGTAAGAACCAAGGCAAGGCAATGCCAAGCGAGGCGAGGCCGGATATGTATCCAGCGACTCAAGGGAGGAATTCGGGAGATGAGTCTGTAGCTTTTTTGGGTGGTTTTTCCTGGGATGCAATATTGGCCGAAACCAGGTTTAGTATTTAGCCCAAACGCCTCTCACACTCAGCTTTTTCAGCCGCTTGCCAACATTCAATTTTCCCTCCTCCTGTCTCTCTCGGTGTGTGTGCTCAGCTGGCTGTCGCATTTAAATCCCCCCTCTTCGTCCATATTGCTGCATCATCCTGAGAGAGAGGTTCCAAACACCCCTCTGCCACTCTTAAATACAGTCTGAACAGCGAATCTGTTATAAATATCAACAAGTGCTGTTCGGTTACAGCAAAAGGTAGGCCTGCTGTGGTCTAGAAGAAGGGAGATCTATTATTCTCTAAAATCTGTTTGGGGAGGTTGCCAACACATTGTGCGTAAGTGGCAGAAGACGAGACACACATTACACGCCACAAGACAAAGAAGCAGTAGGACTGAGAGACTAGAGACTCAAGAGGGCAAATATTGGTATGCTTACCTACGCAATATAGTTTCATCTCCTCATTTTCCCCAATCCTCAACTTCCTCACAACATTCACACACACGCAAGTGACTGACGCTCCTATATCCTCTAGTTTTGCGGGTTTCACTGCCTCTGTTTCTGCCGAGTACCCCTCGCCGGCTCCCAGCACTTTCAGCTTTGGGCTTGTTTGTCTCATTGCTTTTTGGCCACCGTTTGTGGCTCCCTCCACTGGTCCCAACCACCCCTGGAGCCCGGCAAAAAGGCCTTGGCTATTTTCGTTGATAATTCCAAAAAAAGCGGCTTCTCGCCTCTCACTTGGATTCTCGCCGGCTCGACATCTCTCTGGTCTGAAAGTGCCGTTTATCAACTTGTGCGGGCACACAAAACCACACCCTCTCAAGGTGGAAGGAAAGGAAGATCATTCTGTTCTCGAAATAGCTCTTGGCCGTGCCTCGCAATCTCACTCACGCTTATTTCGAGCGGGCACAACTATCCACGCGCAATATAAGCGCGCACGTTAACACACATATCTAGACATCCACAATAATCTCCATCCTTTTAACGCATCCTCCTCCGCCTCTGATACATACTCTTATACAACACGCACGGGTCGTCACAAAGAAGAGACAATCCATTTGCCAATCATCATCTTTTTCAGGAAAAAAAAGGAAGAAGAGACAAAAAACAAAAATAAAGCAGTTGTTACTGCTGCTACTGTTACTGTTACTAACTCACGGCTCTTGTTACTGCCTCGGAGCTGTTTATATACCGTGGCCTGCCCTTCTCTCCTAACCGCCTATCCGCCTTGCTTATCTGTTAGTCCACGCGCGCACCCGCGTTTTTTTGTCAACTTTGCCGACTAACATCAACGTTGGACCTTTTTCCTTTCTTCATTCTTACGTTGCCTCTCCGCCAGCCAGCTAAGCTTAGCTGTTCTATCTACGCCACCTTTCTTGTTTTTTTCTCTTTTTATTCTTTTGCTTCTGTCTCTAACCCCTTTTCGCCGCTTTTGGTTGGTTCCCCAGCATCTATCGATTCCTTATTCCTCCATTCCTCACATATCCAACCGCATCGCATTATCTTTTCTTGTTCTACTCCTTTCTACTTCCTCCACTTCTTACTGCAAGTTTTGCTTGCGAGCCTTGCGTGCCTGCTTGTGTCTCCCCCCGCGCCCTCTCATCACTCTGTCGACAATCGGTGTGCGTATGCGGGTGCACATGCCGCTATAAACCTCGAGAGAACCGAAAACAATCGCACATCTCCCAGCCATGGCCTCGTTGGCGCTGCTTGTCGAAAGCAGCAGCAGCCTGGTTTCCTCGGCCGACGAATCGTCCAACCTCGCGTCATCCAGCTCGACTCCTCCCACGACCGTCACCGACAGCGATTCCCTGCACTCAGACTCCAAAGATGTCATCGCCGTGATTGACGACTCGACCGTTGTCGCCGTCGCTCCTCCACCGCTGCCTGTGGCCCAAGTGCCGTCGCCGCGACGCCCGCAGAGGGCACGTGCCAGCCTGCCCGTCTACAACCTCGCGAAGCTCAGCGGCACGGCTGCGCATGGCAAGAGGAGAAGCAAAGGCGACGTCGTGGCCGATCGCCGCAGACGGCGCACCATTGCGGGCGCCACGCTGACCGCTGGCGACGCCGACGTCGGGGCCGCGCTGGCCTCGACCATTGACGCGTTGAGCCTCGCCGCTGCAGTCGCCTCCAAGAGGACGCCGCGCGCACAGCGCCTGGCGCGACCCTCGCCGCGCTCGCTGCGATCCGTGGCGCGTCTCGGCACTCCAGCCGCCGGCGATGTCGTCGACTCGCCCGTCTCGTCCGCCGCCTCCAAGCTCGCCGCGATTGTCACCAAGCGAGGGCGCAAGCCCGTCGGCAAAACCGGCGTCAAGCTGTCCCGCGAGCTGCGCCGCCTGCAGGACACCAAGGAGTTCAGCCACATCGACGACCGGCCTGTCCTGCACAGCGTCTGGTCCAATGGCAAATACATCGACCCCAACCAGCCCGTCGAGCGCCGGCGGGCGCGCAAGAATGCGAAAGTCGACCACTCCGAGATCGAGGTCAAGCAGGAGGAGCCGGAGGAGCCTGTGCCTCAGTTTAAGAAGCCTCGAGTCAAAAAGTACATGGACCACGGTCTCTATTCCGGCCAGGACATGCCCAAGGACATGGTCCGGGGACTGACAGCCGCCGAGAAGAAGCAGCTGGCGCAACTGCCTGAGCTGCTGCCCTGCAAGGAGAACAAAGTCATGCCCGCGCCCATCTTTGGCGGCTTCCGTACCCTGCTGGCTGGCCGCGACTTCAAGCTGCCATTCCACGTGTGCCATCCGCTACCGCCAGGCCAACCCAAGCCCGACGAGTGGAAGAAGATGACCAAGAGTAAGTTTAGTTTTCTAGTCTCGTTATGGCTTTCTTGTATGCGCCATCCCTTTATAATCTCGCTTGCTGACAAAATCGCGCCTTCTAGACCGGTTCATCGGCGAATCCAAGGAAATCTGGAAGAAGATGCCACACATTCTCGATTATCAGTCCAAGTGTGTGTGTAACCCAGAAGACGGATGCAGCGAGAGCTGCCAGAACCGAATCATGCTTTACGAATGCGACGAAACAAACTGCAATATCGGCAAGGCCTTTTGCACGAACCGAGCATTTGCTAACCTCACGGCTCGGCGAGCTAGAGGCGGCAAGTACCGCGTTGGAGTCGAGGTGATCAAGACGTCTGACCGAGGCTACGGCGTCCGCAGCAACCGCTGCTTCAGGCCTCACCAAATCATCATGGAGTATGCGGGTGAGATTATTACTGAAGAGGAATGCGAACGACGAATGAATGAAGTTTACAAGGATAATGAGGTATGTCAAAAAAAAATCCATTCCAATTCCTCTAGCTGTGTGTTGTCTCTACCTTGTTCAATTGGCTAACATGTCTCTGTTTTTTTTTTTCCTTCCTTGCTTTTAGTGCTACTATTTAATGAGCTTTGACCAAAACATGATAATTGATGCTACGACGGGCAGTATTGCTCGATTTGTAAATCATAGCTGCAACCCCAACTGCCGTATGATCAAATGGATCGTCTCAGGGCAGCCTAGGATGGCTCTTTTCGCTGGCGACAAGCCCATCATGACTGGCGACGAGCTCACGTATGACTACAACTTTGATCCCTTCTCAGCAAAGAACGTGCAAAAGTGTCTGTGTGGACAGCCCAATTGCCGAGGAGTGCTGGGGCCCAAACCCAAGGGAGTCAAGCCTCCGCCCAAAGAGATTATTGCAAAGGGGAAAGGCAAAGGTAAAGGCCGAGGAGGGAAGCGCAAGTTCAAGGACCTGTCAGGAAACGAGGAGAACCAGGACCCCAACAACAAGGCGAAGAAGCGCAAGACTCTGGACAAGCCAAAGCCTATCAGGACACTCAAAGCTGTCAAGGCATTGAAGCCCGTCAAAGGCCCAAGGGTCAAAAAGGCGTTGAAGCCAGCCAAGGCCGCGAAGCCCGGCAAGACTCTGAAATCCATCAAGGTGGTAAAACCAAAAGTCGCCAAAGCTACCAAGGTTGCCAAGATTGCCAAGATTGACAAGGCTACAAAACCCAGAAAGTCCCTTCAGCCTGCAAAGACGACCAAGAGGCCATACAAAAAGGTCAGCATCAAGCTAGTTAAGAACACGGCAACGACCAAAGGCGCACGAAAGCAGCGAGAAAGCACCACCATCACCGTCAGCGGAGCAGCTTCTGGGATTTCCGTCTCAGTATAAGAGCCCAATAAGGAGATGATGAATTTCATGGGAGTGCATCGTTTCTGGTGTCCTTTGGGTAACAAGAAGATGCAATTCAACATGGCTCCCTAGCCTTCCCGAGTGTATGACAACGTTATAGACACTCACTTGCGGGCTTTCACTTCTTTTCTGGTTCATCACGGATTTTAAGTCATGTTTGCTGGGTCGTCCTCATATCAAACTTTTAGGTGGGCAATTAGCCTCTAGGAGACGTTGGGCTAACATGTTTGCTCTTTTCTTTTCTCCATCCTAACTTTATTTGTGTTTTTATGTCTACCATTATGTTTTCCGAGGATCAGGCGATGTTGTGATAGATTTCCTTTTCACTATTTCTCTTAAGCTTTCTTGTATTTTTTTTTTCTCTTTTTCCTTGATGATGGGGAAGGGGGCAATTCCTTAATATCTCCTTTTCTTCCTGTTATTTTTTGTGATGGCGAAGGGGGGCTGGGATGAGCTGCGAAAAACGGTTTGCTTTGTTCTTTTCCTTTTCGCGTCTTTGGAAAGTTTTTGCTCTTGCTTGTCTAAAGTGTGTGTGTTTTTGCATTGTTTTTGCAGTACAGTTTTGGAGTTAGAGGCGAGTTTAACATATACGCGGTAATGAGAGCTGATGATTTTGGTGTTGTATGCACGAGCTGAAGACTTGAGTCAATAGTGAACAGTTTCCTGTCTATGTCTGTCTTTCTGTAGAAACTTGAAAGCATGCTAGGTATTGCTAGTGTTAGGCAAGTGTAGAGTTCCGTTTCTTGCACTTGATGTCATGATGTACTGCGTTAAGGGGCTTGAGAAGACGACGACGGTTGAAGAGCGTAAGTATGTTGGAAAAATGAAAACGGAAACGAAACTGAAGTAGCTTTTTAATGACACATGATACAACATATCAGATACACGAGCGTAGCCAAGATAAAGCGTCGTATTCCAGAGTTTTACACTGCGTTTAGGTTCCAAGACAAAAGATCACGAGAACAGCGGAAGAGCGAATACTACACCCAATATCATATATTTATAACAGAAAGTGTTGACAACCTGATGAATACAAGGAGTACTCGAAGTGACCATCTACTCGACCTATACCCCCAGCTTTCACATACTGAGCCTCAATTCCCAGCACTAAACCTGGTCCCTATTGACACAAGCATCTCGTGGATGGATGACCTATCCCTGGATACCAACGGGAGTCTGGCAGAGAAGATCCTGGCCGGCCTAGAGAAGATATAAGTCTTAGAAACGAACAGAAGCAGGTACATATTTTGACATCGATGACGACTTACAACGGGAACAACACAGCAAGTGGCCTGGTCGCCAGTCTTGGCGCAGATATTCTTGAAGTCGACGCCGTCACGGGGAGTTTGGGTGGCTGTAGGACGCCAATTAGAATACACTTAATCAAAAGACCGCTGTATAAGGCTTGTTTGAACTCACGAGTTTCACAGCCGAGGCCAACAACACCGAGGACCACAGTGTCACAGCACTGAGGGTTGCTGTAGAGGCCGTTAGGACAGATGGGGGCGCCTCCTCCAGTGCGAACCTCGACGGGGCCGGCAATGGCAGCAGTGGCAAAGAGAGCGGCGGCAGCGAAGAACTTCATCTTGAATAAATTTTCGTTGGGATGACTCTGAGATGAGAGAGTTGAGTTGGTCAGAAATGCTAAAGTAGAGGAGACTGGAGAGTGGCTCAGGCGAAGACTAATGATGATGAGGATGGAGAAGAAAGCAAGGTATCCCATGGGAGCAGGAGACGGCATATTTATATTTCATGGACACAACTGCAATCACCAAGAATCCTCTCAAGACACAGCATCATCTGTCCTTGTTCACACCAGCCTCGACTCAATGCGGCAACACAAACGCAGCCGCCGTGAGTATCCCTACCTAGGACTATCTTCCTTGGCACGGCTTCCCAACAAAGGTCTAGTGAGCCATCTCAGCTGCCCAACTTCATCATACTCCTGTTTTGCTCATTGTTGCTGTATCACCAATGCACGCCTCTGCGGTGAGGTGGATATCTCATCTGCAGTCGTGCAACAGCACCAGGAAAGGGGGGTGGAGAGGGCGTCGTGCCCGGTTTTCTCTCCTTCTTCCAGGTAGTAGTAGTAATAACACAATGCAGAATGAAATCCTAAAAAAAAAAACTGGGATGGTCCAGCTCAAGCCCAAAATAAAGCAAAATTTTCATCAAATTGTGTTGTGTATCCATCCCAAGGCCAAGGGGAAGAGGACTGTATGGTAAGCTTAATACACTATATGAGGGATGCGTGTGCAACTGTTTAGATCAATACTATCCAAAGAATTGGGTTAACATCCAATATCACGTTCATGAATGAGTATCACGCCGAAGAGATGTGAAGAGACTATTGTGCAAAATCCCCACGAAAAGCCCCTGTATACACAGATCCTGAGCTTGAATGATTCATCACACTCGGCCTCGGATAGTGTCCGCCTGTCCACTCCAGATGCATGCCACGGCGGCTAAACGCACTCTTGGCTCATGAATTGAATGTCTGTGCTTCCGTCTGACCGGCCCAATTAGCCACAGAGGTCATCCATGATTGCCTCGGTCAACATGGGTGAAAAGCAATTCTCTGCAAATAACAACCATGTCTGTGCTGACAGGGAACAGTTGTCATGTCCTCGAAATGTATAGCAGTCTTGCTGCCAGTTACTATCCCATAGATATTAAAAGAAATAAACTATAATGATACTCTCTAAACTATCTTTTGACTATCATAGTCGCCCGCAAAGAAATGGACACTATTTCTTACAAGTTTGACCTTGAAGGTCAGCTTCGTTCACGTCCGGCATATCGGCCCACATAAAGCCTCTCTCTCCAGACTCATATTATGCAGTTCTCGGACCATCGCAGCCCCAGGCATCAGCTTTGGCCACAACAATCTCGATGATCATACTGCATCTTGATTGGGACTTCCGAGCCAACCAGATCCCGTTGCCAGGTTTTCTCCTCTACGGTCCTCTACGGATCCTCGGGACACCACCCCGGCCCCCACTCGGTGAGGAGGGATCGAGTTTAACAACCACTCAAATCGACGCGGGTCGAAAGCCAGAGACCGCGTTCCTGGCCTGATTTTGGCCTGATTTTGACGTTGGCCAGGCAGCACTCTCTGAGTTATGAGTACCTACAAATAGGTATCATGTGGTGCAACCAGGACCGGGGATCCATGTCCCGCGCCTGCGAGCTGAACAGAATAATCCAAAAAGAGCTTCCAATTGTCGGCTGAACCTCAGCTGTCCTCAGCTCTCTGCCGTCATATCGTCATAGATATGATATACATTTCCCAATTGCCTGTAAGGAAAAGGCCACCTTCCCAAGTTTATACAAGCAACAAGGGAGGGAAGGCGGGATGTATGAGAGCCGAAGAACAAGCTCAAAGCCAAGCCACTCAATCTATTACTCTATCGTACTTAGAGTTAGTCGTAGTATTGTTTATTTGCAGCCTCCCTTCCAATTACCTGCACATCACCATCACCCCTGGTAATGACAAGGACTTCGGGCTTTCAGCCCAACAAATCTGACATCTAATGCCACACGCATGCATGGTTTTGTCTGTGTGGCATCTACCTGTAAGTACTACCTGGTAGTATTCGTTATTCATACGTGTACCATCTGATATGTCAGAGCCACAGCGTATGTACGTCCGGGTACGCGGCGCTTATCTTGCTATTAATAGTAATGGTTACAATCCGCTGGCCCGTCGGTAATGTGCCGATCTTGTTGATCATCTTTCAGAATTGCAAGATGATACCGAGGAAAATACTAAGTGCTACAGGATAATGATGCCTGTACTCTCTAGGGCCCTGTCAAGACTATCTGCTAGTGACAATCCCTTGGGTCCGAGCAAGTAGAGGTTATACGGACTCCTACCATTTTGGTGCTATTTGAGGCCCCGTATTTTTTTATGAGCCTATCATACTAGTACTTGAGTGGCACATACTTGGGCCGTCGAGATGATCCGGTTTGTCGCCGCCTCTTGCATGGATCGGAAGGAGAAACAGGGAAACGTCCCGGTAGGTGACATCGCAGCAGCCACGTTCTTCCCTGTTTGTCGCCATGCATCAAATTGTGGCTGTTTTTCCCGTGCCATCAGGCGAGTATTGCGGACCATGTTGTCCGTATACAATTCAAGCTGACAACACATATGCCAAGCCACTCAAGGCATGAGAATGAAGCCGGGGAAGGGATATCAGGCTATTGATACAGTAGAAGCTTGATTCTTGGCAAGGAGTGGTGACAGGCGGGCATCTTCAGCTACAAAGTATCCAAGTAGCAGTAGCAGTAGTAGTATTGCAATGAAACCTCAGCTCTGCACGCACGAGTAAGTGAAGTGCTCTAAAGCAATCTTATTGGTGAGACTGCAGCATGGGTAGCCTCGGGCTGCCGCGCCAAGTCCAGGGAGGCCATCCACTCATATGCTTCCATGCCGTGCGGCTGTGGGTGCAAATTTCGCCCTCGAAAAGCCACTCAATTCTCTCAGTCGCGTGCCCCCGAGATGTTCGAGCCCGCTCTGCGGAGTGAGACATTCAAAATTACCAGTTACCGGGATAAAGAGAGCGAGTTTATATAGGTGAAAGCAACAGTAATAATGGGATTGGCGGTTAAGTCGTGCAATGCAAATTTTACTTGACAGCCGTGGTGCTACATGTATGTGCAAGGGCGAGGTATCTCGGCCATCAGTCAATGTCTCGTATTACACCAGCTACTGAGATGTCAGTAGTAGTAATAGTCTTCCGGAGGATTTCCATCAGACGGAGGAAGCCAGCTAGCAACGAGTTGTGGGAGAGCTGTACTTACCCTGTAATTTCGAGGGATCGGGGAAATAAGAAGATATCAGGACTTTGCAAAGTATATTGCAGGAATGGGCGATCTTGAATTGCGAGGCGGCTCTAGGTGATATTTCTCATCGCTGAGGTGGGACGTGTAGATTATAAGCGCTCTCTCTTTTGCTTCTTCAGTCTGTCTGGGAGGCTCACTCTGTCGCCGATCAAGCGCCATTGCAAGGTACCTATGTAAACAAGCACCATCGATCAGCCCCGACATTTAAGCTGGCCCAAATATGCATGAAGGTGAATGGAAAGTTTCAAGTCAAATGAAAATCTTTGCCTGTAATCTGTATCTAAACTCCTTGACGGGCTCAATTCCGAGAGCATTGAAATTGCCATTAAATCGCTATTTTCAGGATCCGCGATCTTAAATTCAACGACATGTAAAGTGGGAATCTCTTTTTCTACTTTTGCGGCTGTAGTGACATCATAGACGCGCCTCTTAGAATCGCTAAGTGAGTGAAGCGCACGCTTTATTTGTTACAAATATCCTATGCTGGTAACAGTCACTTTTTGAGCGTCGTCATGTAAATTGCTCTGTGTTTGGATCGTAGTTGTGGAAGCTATACCTTATAGTATTTCTTTGTTGGATTGTAAGTATCAAAAGGTGCTGGCTATTATGGTCCAACGGTTAAGACATCAGTTTGTGGTATCACTGCAAACCACTGAAGACCGAGGTTCGACTCCTCGTAATGGCACATTTTTTGCCCCTCTCTCCCTTTTTGTGAGCCTGCAGCAAAATGAACAATACACTTTGAGATTCATTGGATCACAGTTTGCTCACAATGAACAGTCATTATGGAACGCACACACGCCTGGCATCTTATTCTTTTCAAAAATATGATAAGGCGTTTTCGACACAGACGTGTAACCGATCTCGTGCTTAGATGGTAAAAACTATGGAACAACGCTCAAAGATGGCGAATAATGGCACACGAAAAGGCAGTGCAGCATCATGTGAAATTATAAGGCATTAATGATTCATGCCTAGAAAAACCGATGAACTCATGATGGAAGAGAAAGGAAAACAGGAGCGTCGTGACTTCACAGCCACGCCTCACACTCACTAATCTTTGTTCGCCTCAAAGAAGTGGCAGCCTCGGCGTCGGCGCCCATATTTTAGCAACCACTTTCTTTCAAACCCTGAGGTCAGAATTGTAAAAACCTCCTTCATATAATAATTACCGAGCCATTTTAGTGCGTTCTGGTAATATGTCACCGCTATTGCAGGTGGGCAAGGCGACAAGAGGCTCAGCCACCTGCAGGTACAATCAAGAGCCTCATCACGTGGATTCGACGATCTGTTTTCGCTGAACCGTAGAGAGCTATACCTGAAAAAGATTCAGAAGTGATGAGTGTAGCTTTTTTGTCTATCAGTGATTAAAATCCTCTGGAGATGGAGTGGAATGAGCAGTCTCATAGGAAGACCCTTCATTCGTATTTGACATTCACAGCGCAGCACATAGATTTCGTCGAAGTGCCTAGGCTAATAAGTTTTCAAAAAGGATGTATTAAAATGAATGAACGATTAAAACGAATGAAAAGCCCTCTAATCGCAATTTAAAACAAATCTATAAGCCCATGTATTAAAAAAACGAGTGAACCCCATTGGGACATCCCCAACTCAGCAAAACGGGCCTCGTTATGCGCCTCAAATTACCCCCAATTGATTCATAACCCAGCCCTGTTTGAGATTCGCCGCTCTGTTGAAGTATGATAAAAAGAAAGCCGATTCCCGCTGATGTGCTCCTTTGCCCACCACTGTTAAGTATATATATATATATATACCCAAGCATACAAAAGGTGTTCATAGAGAATAGCGAGAAGCAGGATATATGTCGCGAAATTAGATCCAATAGATAAGTGTCGTTGGTGCCAAAGATCTTTGACAACGTGAATGTCCAGTATTTTTCATTAAAGAGCTTGGTGAATCCGACTGTGCCTTGGACAAGTGCATGCCGGCAAACGTGGCCAAGTTTTAATGAGACTTCGCAGGTCCCACCGAGTCGGTAAAGTAAGCGCAGTCTGCGCAGCGTGGGTGTTGGCAGCGTGGCTCAAGGCATAGCAGTGTAGTTTGGAAGAGCATTCCACCTAAGCCGCAGCGGCAGCAGCTCCAGGTATTGACTTCTTGGCCGCCCATTATGAAAGAGTGAAAGCTGAAGCTTTGGTGAGGGGATTGTCTGAGGTTTTGGATTGTGGTTTGTTAGACTCGATGATATGCTTTGAATCTGAAGGTTGTGATGCTACTCTTTTGGATGGGAGCTTGAGTCTATTATAAGTATCTAACTTCCATCGTGGCCGTGGCGATGTCACAGACTTTCGCTTTCCAACACCGAGCATACGCCAGACGTCCGCCTTCTTCACGAATTGCGCAATTGCCAAAAAGGCAAAACCGGCGCAGCATTGCAAGCCATGATTCGGCGAGAGAATGGACATCGACGTGGCATATCGGTGGCCGTGATGAAGGCAATCGGTAGCCTGCCGGCAACTCCTGAAGTGTAAAAGTTGGAGAGCGAGCCAGGACTGCTAGTAGGTTGAGACATGGTCTTCTTCACCGAATGCTGAGAGTTATTACAGCGAAAGAAGAACGATAAACGTAATAGTGACTATCTGCAGGGCCAAAAATCTAAACAAGGCGGAAACTGCGCCTTCGCCTAACCCAAACATCTTGGAGGGAGCCTTACAGGGTGCCATCGTCATGTGAAAGACTTTCCGGAATTCCAAAGGAGGCAATATTATCTGCGCGAAACATTTGGGATAATCTGGATCCGTGCGTAACATCTTTGAGCGAGAGACCAGCGAGCTCTGCGCCCTTGTCTGGGCTTTGGCCGACGGCTTCCCGAGCGTTTGACGAGGCTGTGCCAAGGGGGGTGCATCGCGATTTCGAATTGTCTTAGCGAGGCAGCAAAGCCAGTTTTCCAAAGACCATCGGCCTTTGGCATGGCCTTCTTCATTCTTTTTTTGTAATTTCTTTCACTTTCTTTATTCTTTTGTATCGCGCTTTTTGTATTCGTCTTCCGGGGATGTCGGGAAAGCTCTTCTCAAGACTACCGTATTGCTCTTGGCATTGAGCTCGATGTCAGTGTTAAAGTTGAAGAGGTGAGAAAGAGAAAGCTTCAGACTGGAGTTTTTTTATCCAAACGAGGAAGAAATATGAGTGTTTTTTTTGTGTTATGTGCGATGTTTCGCTTGGCCGCTAAAGAACAGCTCGAACAGGATGACGCCTGATACATGACGGTGATTACTTGCGCAGCAATCGCACGAGACGAAGATAAAGAATAGACGAGAAAAAAGTCAAATAAATGGCATGAGATGGAGCCGCTTATATATCACATCTAATGTGCAAAGAAGTTACGTTGCTTCGCCGTGGCTGCCCCAAAGCCTACAAGTAACTAGGCGTTGGTAGAGCCCCATGATGGCGGCTCCAACAGCCTCAACGTGGGCACCACGAGCACAGATGAATGGACGGACCGCTAGGCGGGATAAACACCATCTTTCTCAAAGATAACAACGTGCGGCTACGAGTTGGGCTAACGGAGATGTTTGGGTGTGCTGGCAGCCACCTACATGTAGTAGGCAGGACTCTGCTCTGTTGCTGGGCCACTATAAGACCAAAACAGCCTTACAAGAGCCTCATTACATTGCGGGGTGGGGTGGGGGATCAAGTAGAAGACGGCAACGAGCGTTAATGCATCCAGCTGAGTCCTCAGAGGGCAGTAGGATCCCGAAATAGTGGTGGGATTGAAGTAGAAAACGGATTATAAGCCTTGAATGGCGTTGAAACACTACTGGATGCTACAGTACAATTCTGCTGCTGTGTTTGAATTTCAAAGACGTCCCGCAACAAACAGGGATTTTAAATTAGGGACGGGAAGCGGCCAGAATTCGCACAGGTAGCGTCAGCCTAATGTGTACCATTACAACATGCTTGGCCACTAATATAGTGCGTACATGTTAGAGGAGACCCGCCCAGGATCGGGATCGCAATCTGGTAATTTCAAGATTATCAATGTCATGGATCATGGCCCCCCATTGCACACTTTGGCAGCGTCTTCTCTTCTTGCACTCTTCAACACCATCCAAAGCCGAGCAGAGCAGGCTGCGATCATGATACGGTCGCCATGCCGCGTCCGCATCACAGCACTCGCGCTGAGACGCGCTGGGCGGTGCGAATCATTCCTTTGTTCATCGTTGCCGTTCTAGGCGTGGCCACCTACAGCGTAGTTGCGAGACTCTGCAGTAAGTGTGATGTCTGCCAGAGATCAGAATCTCTTGAAATGGTAGATGAAAAATAAAAAATGCTAACCAGGATCGTCGTCTCCCCCAGTCAGCTATCTCTACCACAAGAAACACCAGTCCGGCGTTGTCACGGCGTTCCTCGTCCTCTACTTTCTATTCTTTCTATTAATGGCCGCGACCTATCTACGAACATTCTTTACAACCCAACTGAACCCAGGCCTCGTGCCCCTTTCCTCCCGCGAACAGACCGAGCGCGAAGCTGCCGAGAAGCTGCGAAAGCGAAGACACAAACGCAACCGAGATGTCGAAGAGAGTGCCTACGTACCCCCCGACACCAACCCGGACAGTCCGGGGCTGGAAGCCTTCTACAGCAAGGACGTTTTCGTCTGTGAGGTCGACGGGCGTCCTAAGTGGTGTTCAGAGTGCCAGCAGTGGAAACCAGACCGGTCGCACCATTCGAGCGATCTGGGCCGTTGCGTGAGGAAGATGGATCATTTCTGCCCGTGGGTTGGCGGCATAGTATCTGAGACGTGTAAGTTTTGACAGAGTTTCCCATCACAGCGACCCAAAGAACACGAAAAACATCAAGGAGAATTTCGTTTTTGACAATTTATTCCGTTTCATTCTTTTTGAAACCTTACAGCCTTCAATTTCTTTACGCAATTCTGCCTCTATACTGGTCTCTTTTCTGCCGTGAACCTCGCCGTGGGAGCGTATTCTTTCCACCAACACCATCAAGATGGGGATCCAGCCGACGGATGGGCCATTGCTGCCATTGTTCTAGCATGCGTCTTTGGTACCTTTACCTTTGGCATGGCGCTTACTTCGATTCGATTCATCTTTCTAAACACCACAAACGTCGACATGCTTAAGAGGTCGAGTGAGGTCGTCTTGGCCGTCCGCATCCCCTTGTCTACTCCGTCATCAATCAAATATCCAGTCATTGTGTATCCTCTCCGCGGGACACCGCATCGCCCCGGATCCGAAGGCCAGCAACCCAGCAGCCAGTATGGCACCGTTTCTGTCAGAGATCAGCAGGCAGAGCGCAAGTTTGCAATCCTGCGGACGAAGCCGCGGGAAAACCCGTGGGATCTGGGCATCAAAGAAAACTGGAAGGCCGTCATGGGAGACAACATCATCGAGTGGTTGCTCCCCATTCGTCACTCGCCCTGCTGTAACCACGAAAGCATGGAGAGCGATTACAAGCTTGGGCCTCTGATATCAAGAATAAGAAAACGATATGGAGCTCCCGAGCTTGAAACTCCCTCTCGCAATGGACATGCCATCGAGTTGCAGGATAGAACCAGCCGGCGCGCCAGTGATTGATTGATTGACTGACTGGCTGACTGATTACGTTCTCTATCTACCATCATCATTCTCACCCTCTTTATCATTCACGTTATTCCCGACTGGCAGGATTTCTACTTGCCGGTTTTGTTTTCTCTCGCATCGTGGCGTTACATTGATTTTCAGCAGCCTATATCTGCTCTATTCTCTAATCGATTCCCCTTTCCTTATTGTTTCATTAGCTATGGGCATAGACATGGGGGACCCCAATTTGTGCAAATCATCCCTGTTTCTTACGGTACATGTATATATACATTCTTTATGAACGCGGTCCCCAGAAATTTCTTTTAATTTTGTTGTT